GGTTCATCGGATGTCACAGTGCATGCTCTAAACCACATGTGTCAAACACAAGGCCCGCGGGCCAAATCCGTCCCGCCAGGCCTTGCAATGTGGCCCGCACCGCACTGTCATCACTGCACTCCGTTGCGTTTCCATCACAATGACAGTTTATGACTGTTCAGTAAACCATTCGGCCCGCGATTTAGGCTGGATTTTAGATTTTGGCCCCTTCTCTGATTGAGTTCGACACCCCTACAACCCATGGTTGGCAAACTGGTCCTTGCGAGCCACATGCGGCTCTTTGGCCCCTTGAGTGGGGCTCTTCCACAAAATACCACGGCCTGGGCGAGTCTGTTTTGAAGAAGTGGCATTAGAGGAAGTTTAAGTTTTAAAAATTTGTCTCTCCAAAGAAATTTCAATCGTTGTACTATTGATATTTGGCTCTGTTGACTAAGGAGTTTGCTGACCACTTCTCTAAATCATTACTCATTTTTGCTCTTTTTTTTTAAAGCTATTGAAGAACAAGTATCAATCAAAGTGCAACTATTGAGCTTTATTCAAAAATGGAAAAGGCATTTTATTAAATATTTTTATAATTTTTACTAAATATTTTTAACTCTTCCCATACTCTGAAATAAGTCTTCCCAGAGCTGATTAGTATGGAAACCATTAAACACACACACACACACACACACACACACACACACACACACACGCCCCTGCCCAAAGGAAAAGTGATGGTGGTTATAAACCTTCCAGGCCACACGGGGGCAGCACCAAACAGCATGGGTTGCTCTTTGCTGTGCCATCCTTGGGAGGAAGCTGAGTGCACTCCCTGGTGGGGCTCAGTTATTCCCCATTCACCCAGTTTTCTTCTGCTCTGGTGGTGACACTTTTCAAATCAGGAACTAAACTGCAAGAGAAGAATTGCACAAGGAAAATTAAATAAAAGCTTCATAATAATATATTTAGGACTCTTGTTTTCTCTTTATCAGCATGAAAAAACAATATACTTAATGTCAGTGGTTGGATTAGCTAGAAATTTGCATTTCTTAGGCAAGAAAAATACCCTTGATTTTTTTTAGTGAGCTGGTTTAGTTTGAAATCCAGGTGTTCTTGGACTCAAGGGACAAAAAGCAGCCAGTATTTTTGTTTTTTACCTTCCTTATCCTATATAATAAAGAGGTGATATGCAAATTGACCCTCATGCCGTCACAAAGATGGCTGTGCCCACAATGGAGGCGGGGTTCCCGAAGGAGCCATAACGAGCAATCAGCAGGGACCTGAAGCTACGTGGTGCTGGGCTGGGGTGGGGGACCTCAGGCTGAGCCCTCCGCCCTGGCACCGGGGCTGGGGGCCTCAGGCCCTGCCTCCCACCTGGTAGGGCTTGACGGGGAATGGGGGGAGAGCACAGGCCATGCCCTTCGCCCCAGGCCAGGGGACCTGAAATTGCGCCCCCTGCCCAGCAGGGATTGACGGGGGTGGGACAGGCCAGGTCTGGGTCTCGCGGGATTTCAAAGCCTGTGCAGGTGGGTGGGGAGCTCATGGCGAGCCCCAAGCTCTGACAGGAGGAAGATTTTCATATACATTTTGCTAATTTTCTTTCATCTCTGACACTTCTATTTTAGAAAAAGGGCAAATGGCAATATTAAATTATTTCCTCTAATTAATCCCCTTTTAATGTGCACATATCTTATGCACCAGGCCACTAGTTGTTAATAAATTCTTTTGGGTACTCATAGTCTGTAGAATTTTGTAGTAGGCAATTAGAGAAAGCGAAAAATTATGTTCCTGGCTTCTAGTTTTAAGGAAATTCCACATTAATACTGTTTTTTTGGCGCCCAAACCCAGGATCACCAAGATACTCTACTCATAGCAGCTTCTGTTGATTTTGAGCTCCGTTTCCAGTTGGGCACATCTCGGTGTCCTGTCCAACCCCATTTCCATGCCAGAGGCTGAGTGGGCTGGAGTTTTTACTAGAGTGGCAGTAATAATTTATTATTCAAACTGGGAGTGGGCTGGAGTTTTTACTAGAGTGACAGTAATAATTTATTATTCAAACTGGGAGTGGGCTGGAGTTTTTACTAGAGTGACAGTAATAATTTATTATTCAAACTGGGAGTGGGCTGGAGTTTTTACTAGAGTGACAGTAATAATTTATTATTCAAACTGGGAGTGGGCTGGAGTTTTTACTAGAGTGGCAGTAATAATTTATTATTCAAACTGGGAGTGGGCTGGAGTTTTTACTAGAGTGACAGTAATAATTTATTATTCAAACTGGGAGTGGGCTGGAGTTTTTACTAGAGTGACAGTAATAATTTATTATTCAAACTGGGAGCTGCTCTTAATGATTTTGCCACAACAACAGACATGAGCCAGAGCCATCCTGGGGACAAATGAAGTGTGTGGTCCCCCTCAGTGCAAGTGTTTCGTCTCCCCGTTGATGACCCTAGTTTAGATTTATGTGGCACCGTATTCATTTGCTCTTTCACTCAGCACATGTTCATTGAGTATTTTCTACATGCTGGTTCTCTTGATATATTACCTTGTTTTCTCCTAGTGAGAACCCTGAGAGGGAACAATTGTTATTCCTATTTTTAGAAACGGGGGGGGGGGGGGGGGGGGGGGGGAGACACTTTGCATATTACTTTCCCACAATCACAGTACCAGTACATTGAAGAGCTAAGATCTGAATCCAGACAATCCCTACTCTAGAGCCACGCGCTCAAAACCGCATTGAGCCCTGGCTGGTTTGGCTCAGTGGATAGAGCGTCGGCCTGCGGACTGAAGGGCCCCAGGTTCGATTCCAGTCAAGCGCACATGCCTGGATTGCGGGCTGGATCCCCAATAGGGGGCATGCGTGCAGGAGGCAGCCCATCAATGATTCTCTATTGTCATTGGTGTTTCTATTGCTCTCTCCTCTCTTCCTCTCCTCCTCTCCCTGGAATTAATAAGACATACTTTTTTAAAAACAACAAAAAACTGTAATGACATCGAGCAGTCGCAGTGCGGTGGGCACACACCCGCAGAGGGAATGTGAGGGCATCCCCAGACCTCTCCCCAGGACTCAGGAACAGGGCACAGCCTGACGCCTGACTGGAGGCCTGTCTGCTCCTCTCTCTGAATCGGGACACAGGGCCCTGCGAGCTTTTGCAGTCATCCCAAGAACAACCTTCTCCTTTTGGTGAATTTGTAAACGGCCCCTAGGCACCGTCAGCCTATGGCAGGGTTCTGCTCCAAGCGGTCACACAGGCACCTCAGTGCTCCTGCAGGATGGGAGGACCCTCAGGCACTGGGCTTAAGTGGGATGCCTTCTGTAATTGTGTGTGTGTGTGTGTGTGTGTTTTCCCTGAGATGCTGTGATTAACAACTCCGGAAGGAGGCTGGGCCGGGAGGCTGAGACAGGGAAGGCTGAACTGGGCTGAAGGGGTCTCTTTGGGACAATTGGCTGCATTTCCTCATTTCATTGTGACATTCACTTTGGGAAACGTTACAAGATGCCCCCTCCCTGTCCCAGGAGGGTGGTCTCTTCCATTGATGCAAGCTGGGGGGAGACCCAGCCCTCCAAGGGGGATTAGGGCCCGGGCTGCAGGGTCAGGTGAGGGACCCAGTCCAGCCCCCCAGCCCTCCCTGGTGATGATCAGCAAAGCAGATGCTGCAGCCGCACGGGTCCCGGGGACTCTCCTTTGTACATCTTCGGATTTGTTACGTGTTGCGGTATGCACACAATGCTTTTTGTATTACTTTAATTGACCCTCTGAACTTTTAAAAGACAAAGAGCGTTATCACAAAGCATCTCCACGTGATCAAAGAATAAATGAGCTTGCGCTTTAAGGAGTCTCACGAGCCGGCCATTCTGCGGGCTTCGCGGGATGTGAAGCTCCTAACGAGCGGCGGGAGCTGAGCCAGGCCGTCCTGGGAGCACCGTTCCCCCCACTTCCGGGCATTGGAGGGTACATTCTGCCTCCTTGTTATTAGAGCGCTTAACGCTCATACTTGGTTCACTCTCTCTCCCGTCGCCTTTTCCTGGGTGCTCACAACCAGCAGAGCCCGTGGGGGTTGCACTTCTTACGATTAAGAACGCCGCCTTCTAGTAGATGAATGAGCCTAGACGTTTCCATGTCCGTTGGCCCTGTAATTCCACGTCTAGTTATCTATTCTAAGAAAAAAAATCTGAGCACGCACACAGAAAGTTAGGCAAGAAGATAGTTATCACTACACTTTCTATTTTTCTTTTTTCTTTTTTTTTTAATATATTTTATTGATTTTTTACAGAGAGGAAGAAAGAGGGATAGAGAGCTAGACACATCGATGAGAAAGGAGCATCGACCAGCTGTCTCCTGCACACCCCCTACTGGGGATGTGCCCACAACCACAGTACATGCCCTTGACCGGAATCGAACCTGGGACCTTTCAGACACTCTATCCTAGGGGTGTCGAACTCAATCAGAGAAGGGGCCAAAATCTAAAATTTAGCCTAAATCGCGGGCCGAATGGTTTACTAAACAGTCATAAACTGTCATTGTGATGGAAACGCAGCGGAGTGCAGTGATGACAGCGCAGTGCGGGCCACATTGCAAGGCCTGGCGGGAGGGATTTGGCCCGCGGGCCTTGTGTTTGACACATGTGCCTATCCACTGAGCCAAACCAGTTTCGGCTATCACTACACTTTCTAATAGCAAAAAAAAAAAAAAAAAAATCCGCAGTGTAATTTTCCAACAATAGGGATGGGGAGAAGGGATCCTAATATATGGCGCCGAGAAGTTTGACTTTGGGTGGTGGGCACATGGTACAGTCTACAGCTCTGGTAGCATAGAAACCCACTCCTGAACCTGTATGTTCATGTTGCCCAATGTCACACCATTATATCAAATTTTTTAAAAAATAGGGATGAGATATTGAACATGATGTAGCAGCTAAAGGCTCATAGGCATACCTTGCAGAGGCTTTTATGGTAGATGGACGGAGAGTGACCTGTGACCTGTGAGGAATTTCACATTCCTGCCTCTATTGTCTTCCAGTGTTTTGCTGTGCGCTCCCTGGGATGGGTGGAAATGGCAGAGGAGGACCTGGCCCCCGGGAAAAGCAGCGTTGCCGTCAACAACTGCATCAGGCAGCTCTCCTACTGCAAAAACGACATCCGGGACACGGTCGGCATTTGGGGAGAGGTGAGTGATGCGAGGCGACGGTGAATGGCAGGACCGGTTCCCTCTGCTGTGCTTCGTGGAAGCGGAGCCCTGGGGGACGTGGTCCTGAGGGGCGATGGGGGTGTAGCAGGTGCAGTTCCCCACAGGGACAGGTGGTGGAGGCAGGAGTCCCACCTTTTCCCTGGAGATTCAGAAATGTAAATAATGAAAAATGAGAGCCGGCGAGAAACAGGCCCGGGACACTTCCCAGAGGACTTGGACAGGGAGAGACATGGGGATGGGAGGCAATGTGGAAGACTTACAAACTCTTTACTCAGGAGAGGGTGTCTCTCCCTTTAGGAGAACAAGTTCGAGACCACGGGGTGGCTTCTTTCGCTCGTTGAAAGGACACCCAAGGCCAGTGGCCGGCAAACTCATGAGTCAACAGAGCCAAATATCAACAGGACAATGATTGGAATTTCTTTGGACAGCCACATTTCTTTTTTTTTTTCCTTTTTAAATATATTTTATTGGTTTTTTACAGAGAGGAAGGGAGAGAGATAGCTAGAAATGTCGAGAGAGAAACATCGACCAGCTGCCTCCTGCACACCCCCCACTGGGGATGTGCCTGCAACCAATGTACATGCCCCTGACGGGAATTGAACCCGGGACTTTTCAGTCCGCAGACGGACGCTCTACCACTGAGCCAAACCGGTTTCGGCAACAGCCACATTTCTTACTTAAACTTCTTCTAACTCTACTTCCTTAAAGTAGGCTCACCCAGGCCGTGGTATTTTGTGGAAGATCCGCACTCGAGTGGCCAAAGAGCAGCTGTTTGCCCACCACGGCCCCCGGCGGCCGCAGACACGGCAGGGGCGGGCGTGGGCGCTGGGGAGGAGGCTAACGTGCTCTCTCTGGCTCCAGGGCAAGGACATGTACCTGATCCTGGAGAACGACACGCTCAGCCTGGTGGACCCCATGGACCGCACGGTGCTGCACTCGCAGCCCATCGTGAGCATCCGCGTGTGGGGCGTGGGCCGCGACAACGGCCGGTGAGTGTCCGGGCCGGCCGCCGTCCCCTCCCCGGGGCCCCGGGGGGCTCCACGCCTGCTGCTGCTCTTCACTGGCCGTGCAGTGACGGCAGACTTCCTTCAGGAATGTAAACCATGACCGCTGGTTTCTGTCCCTGCCACGGAAGCCCTCCACGCCGCTTCCCTCCTGGGTTCAGTGCCTCAGACCTATGGTCCGTTCTGGATGCTGCCTTGGATGTCTGCGTGTTTATCCTCCTGCTCCTCATCCTCATCCAGCAACGTTCCCAATGAACCAGGACCCCTGAATCCTCCCTTCCTTTCCCCCCTGCTCTGCATTCTGTTTTAATCCTCCACTTCGCTCGGTTGGGTCTGGGCTGTTCATTCCCCACGCCTCCCCCTGGTACCTTCTCTGTAGAGGGCTTGTGTGGGGGAGCAGCCTGCGTGGGGGGTGTAGCTTGCGTGGGGGAGCAGCTTGCGTGAGGGAGTAGCTGCACAGCCTCAGTTACCACCTTCAGATCCCTGAGTCACGATCACCAGGAACTCCTGGGGCTTGGGGTAGCTGAACCTTTTTAGCACTTGAAACATCTGGTCATATCAAATCTCCATTCAGTGCATCTTTTTCTGAAATTCTGAAAATGTGTGGTCGACAGAGGTGCTTCTTACTCAGGAGTGTGGTGAATTTCTTGTCCTCCAGGCTGACTGGAAGTTCTGATTTTCATTTTCATATTTAATCTAAAAAGTGGCCGTTATCACAGACGTCGTGTGGATGCCACCGTTCAGCACCTGGGCTACCTCAGAGGCACTGAACGCTTGAATCACAACTGACCCCTGAGCGACGCCGGCTTGAACTGCTGGGGCTCACATGTTGGACCCAAGTAGTTCAGACCCATGTCATTCAAGGGGCGGCTGTATTCTCTAGCTGCAGCTGGAAATTGGAGGGTGTGGGTGCCGACTGAACTTAGATGTGGCTTTTCCACTGCTCGGATGGTTGGTGCCCCTAACCCCTGCGTTTATTCCGGGGTCAACTGTTTATTTAGTCTTTGGCAGCTCTCAGGGTCCCTGAGGCCCTCGTAGCTTTTTGGGATGCGCTTTAGGGTGGTTAGTTACTGTGTTGTGGAAACTAGGTAAGGACACTGTCAACGCGGGTAAAAATCGCAGACAGCAGCGAGGCGGCTCTCCTGGTTAATCGGAGCGGGTAATCCTCTCTAGAACTCTATCTCGGGCTGCCCCGCCTCGGTTCAGTTGCAAGTTCTACGCCAGAAGAGAAAATGGTTAGGCATCCGTCGATAAAAGTACAAGCATTCTTGCTGAAACCAGACTCAAGAAATGGTCTGCACAAGAAAGGGGAGGTGTCCTCTGACTGCTGGTGGGATAATCCTTCCGGGAGCATGGCTGTGCCTGAGCTCCCGTTAATGGAGTGCTGAAGGGTGGCCGCTGGGCCAGGTGCTTTGAGGGGAACGAGTGGGTAGATGCTAAGTGAAAACACCTGCCATCCACTCGCTCGCCAGAGCTGTGGCACGGGAGTGGATGCCCGACACGAACTGATTAGTTTTACAGGGGAAATACCTGATAATGTTTGCTCGGCATTAAAAGCGTTTAGCCTTGATGGGAGGGTGGAAGATACTTGATCCTTCCCTGGCTCCTGTCCTCCAAGCTTGTTGGTTAAGGCGGGAGCCAAGGTGAAGATCATTGTAAACACACACAACGAGGTGGGTTGTGTTTTCTTAAGGGCACGTCTGGAGCGGGTTTCGCTGATGAGGTTTTCAGTCCCGTCCGACTCTAAAGTGAAGCCAAGCGCTCCAGGTTCAGGAAGAAAAAAAAAAACACAAACATTCAAACTCCAGTTGACTGAATTATTTAAGCTCTGAGCCTCAGTTCCTATCTTCTGTGAAATTCGGATCATAATGAGGACCACACAGCATGGCATGCGTGCCTGTGTGTGTGTACAGTAGCTGGCACCGTGATGGGGATGCGGCAATGCTTAGTGGGTGTTCGCTCTGGATTTGTCAAAGCCCTAGCGCAGGCGTCTTCAAACTACGGCCCGCGGGCCACATGCGGCCCGCAGAGGAGTCTGATCCGGCCCGCCAGGTTTTTTGGGCAGTGAGCGCAGCCGAGGTGTTACAGTAGGAATTAGTAGTTCATATAGTCCAGCCCTCCAGCTCTCTGAGGGACCGTGATCTGGCCCCCACTTTAAAAAGTTTGAGGACCCCTGCGCGGATGCAGCTAATTACGTACCTGGCGTCCTTTCAGAGACAGAGAGGAGCCTGGCCTCAGGGAGGTTTCAAGAGCAGCTTATCATGTGATGCAGAGGAGAGAGGCCAGACATCCTAAGAAGCAGGAAGAGCCCTCTGCCCCCAGGGGTGTCAGTGTAAGTTAGGTCACATTGCCTTGGGTATGTCTTTGAGAGGTGGGCTGGGTTACCCATGTTTTTTAAACTGCTTATTGCTCAATGTTAGTAAATAAGTGTTATTTAGAAACTAGAGGCCCGGTGCATGAAAATTCATGTACTGGAGGGGGGTCCTTCAGGCCGGCCTGCCCCCTCTCACAGTCTTGGAGCCCTCAAGGGCATCCAGGGAAGGTGATGCCTCATCACACCTCTGCTGCTGCCACTGCCGGCAGTGCAAGCCTTGGCTGGCCCTGGTTACCTGAGCCTCAGGCGGCCCTGGGCAGCTGGGTAGCCACCATCTGAGGCTTGCCTGTGCCTTCGGCCGGCCCTAGGCAGCTGTGGAGCTGAGAGGACTGGGCACTGCCATCTTGTAGCTGTGGGTGCTGCCATCTTTGAGGGTGTGGCAGTCAATTAGCGTATTCCCTTCTTATTGGCTGTTGTCACCGCCATCTTTGCGATGGTCTGAGGGTCTATTAGCACATTCCCCCTTTATTAGATAGGATTGTTGGTGAGTTTTTTTTTGTTTGATTTTTTTTCTCACCATTTATCCCCTGTGCCCTCTTCCACCTCCACCCACCCCACCCCCTACAACTACCATACTATTGTTCATGTCCATGAGTTCTCTCCCCTCTCTCTCTCTCTCTCTCTCTCTCTCTCTCTCTCTCTCTCTCTTTCTCTCTCTCCTTGCTCAATTCCTCCAACTTCTGTAATTTAGAAACTCGCTCAGGGTTCCCTGTCGGTTTTCAGGATCTGAACAAGCTCATGTGCTGGTTGGGGCCTCGGGCCAGATCGCAGCAAATAAAAATGTATGTTTGCCAGTGAAAGGTTCTGTTTCCCCCATTGGTCCCCGGAGTTTTCATTCCCTAGAAGAAGGGGCCTTTGCATTCCTGCCTTTTTTTTTTTTTTAACTTTCTTTTGCTTTTGCTTTTTTTTTTTTTACAGCCATTTATAAGAGCAAATTCAATTCGCAATGCCGCAAAGGGAAGGGGTTGGCGCTTTGCATGAATAAAACATAAAAGTGTTTCATTTTGCTTGTGGAAACAAGCCTATTTCTCATTCTCTTTTGTGGCTTTCCTTGCCGAGAGGCTGGAATCTCCTAGGGGACTTCTTGACGCGGTTAACGTGGAGAAGGAGTGTGTATACACTCGAGGCTGGAAGGGCACGAGTCCCCCTGAAGTTCAGAGTGCTTTACTCAGGCGTGCAATTTCCGAATGTATCCGTCACTTTGGGTTTAGCATGTTCTTTGGGCCTGCGCTGATAAAGGTCGCCGTCCTTCAGCAGCCGCGGCGGCTGTCACAGCACCGTGCACAGTGCTTTCTGAAAGGGCTCTCTCCCACAGTGCGTGTCCACCCGGTGACATGGCTCCTGGTCACAGTCTGAGGAACTAAAACTCTCCTCCCAGGAGGCGTTGCGTACACTTCTGTTTTGTTTTGTTTTTATGAATAATGTTTAATAAAGTTTTGCCATGTCATAGAGCATCCATAAACTTCCAAATGAGTTTACCTTTCATTGTTTTACCTGGTTAGGATCTCGGGGAACGTTTACCTAAAGACTATAGTGCCGCCGAGTGGATAGAGTGTCAGCCTGCAGACTAAAAGGTCCCAGGTTCGATTCTGTTCAAGGGCATGTCCCTTGGTTGCGGGCACATCCCCAGTAGGGAGTGTGCAAGAGGCAGCTGATTGATGATTCTCACTCATTGATGTTTCTAACTCTCTCTCTCTTTCTCTCTTCCTCTCTGTAAAAAAATCAATAAAATATATTTAAAAAAAGAAAGAAAAAGAAAAAAAGAATATAGTGTCGCCGAGCCGAAACGGGTTTGGCTCAGTGGATAGAGTGTCGGCCTGCAGACTGAAAGGTCCCAGGTTCGATTCTGTTCAAGGGCATGTACTTTGGTTGTGGGCATATCCCCAGTGGGAGGTGTGCAGGAGGCAGCTGATCGCTGATTCTCTCTCATCGATGTTTCTAACTCTCTATCCCTCTCTCTTCCTCTCTGTAAAAAAAATATATATATATTTTTTTTTAAATAAAAAAAGAATATAGTGCCAAGCGTGCAGAATATCTTCCCCTACTCTCTGCCTAGGATATTTCCCAGCTGGCTTTTTTCCCCCCCACAAGCCCCTGGTTTAAGTTGTTTAGAGGCTGGGCTCAGCAGGGTGTGACTCCCCTTCGGTGGCCTGTCTGGAGGGGCAGGGCATACCCAGACCCCTGGGACCTCCCTCTGTCCAAAGAGGACGCTCTCCTGTGAATCCCGACAAGACATGAAGGATGGTCTGAAATGACCGGGGGCCTGAGGGGACGCCGGACCCTGTGGCCTGGCCCTGGCCTTACGGATCTGGCTTCCTAACCATGAGAAAAGACACAGGTGTGCGCTGAAAGCAGAGCCGCTTCGGGGAGCAGCCGCGAGCGGAGCTGCCCTTTCTGTTCAGCTGCGCCCACAGCAGGCGGCACCTGGCGCTCCTGCCAGGGAGACGTCCTTGCTAATGGGTAGACGTTGGCAGCGACAGAGGGCAGTTCTGTGTCAGGTGACAGGGATGTAGAGACAGCGGGCTGCTGGGCTTTGGAGTTCATCTGAAAGTTGTGGCTATTTCTGCCTGGCTGTTATTTCTTTTCCTAGGTGTAATGGCGGTGGGAAGGG